GCTGAGCATACTTACAGTTTGAGGAAAAAAACCCTCCTCTGTCTATTCCTCAGAAAAGAAAACCAGCGTGGTTACTGTAGTAACCATGATCTTATCTGCCAGCAGACACAGACTTCTGGACAGTCAGTACTGCAGTGGGGAAGTGCTGCACATGCATGACTGTAGCAAATAGGGCTTGGATAACATTCTCTAAGTCATCTAGGCTACCCCTTTGTCCCAGGGCATGACTGGATTTGCCTTTCACCAGGCAGGTTCTTGTCTAACTTGGTTTTTTTAAATCTCCAGTGATGAGGAAGGGAATGTTTTTCCTCATCACAGCTGTTGCCTGTTTCATAGCCTGCAGTGTGAAATGGATGGCATTTACATACAATTCTTATATTCACTGGTGTAATTGTAGCTCTTGTCTCTGATTGTTTAACAGATTGAACTAACGGCCAGCCATTCATGTAGTGAACTTTGTCCTCTTCCTTTAATATTCTGGGAATTGGAATATGACCTGGAGGTGGTGAAGAGCAGAGCTGTCCTCTGACTTTCCATGGCTGGAGAGCACCCAGGCAGATTCCAAATCAGCCTTTTTCTCTCTAGTCTATTGGACTGTATTCCTGATTTATAGAACTTATTCTCTCCAAAGCCTGAAGGTAGTATCCAATTGTTCTTCTTTGTGACTCAGTTTCTTCCTTTTGGATTTTAAATATGCTGTCATCAGTAAATAGTAAATCCAGGATAACAACCGGGTTGTGAGAATATCTAGGTCTTCAGAAAGAAAGAAATCTCTACCTAAGTATTGCTGGCCAGCAGGTGTAACATGTTTATCAGATTAAACAAGTCAAAGGCCATAATGTCAAAAGAAGAAAAGCAGATGGTTGTTTTAACGGAGTTGATACCAGCAGCATGAATGATTCACTCACTTGTTCAAACAGTTCAGCTTTCCTTTATTGGCATGCTTTATTTTCAGCTAAGACAGTCCCCAGTCCATCACTCCAGCTGGAGTTGGATGGACAAGGAGGTTGGATGCAGATGCCACCCTATTGCATCCTGCAGCAGGACTGAGACAAGGACATTATTTAGCTGCCTCACAGTGCTTTTTTATCTTATACTTTGCTCCATTCAGGTGGTTATAAATGTTCACAGACTCTGAGCTTTTAATATATTGACAAAAAGTATGGAGAGGTTTTTTTTCAATTTCTTTAGCTCTTAAAGTTCTTTGGTCTTGCCGACTTCCACTTGGGTTTTTCCCAGGTAAGGTCTGTTGTGTTTGTTTTGCCTGTTTGTTCTTGAAGAACAGGTATAAAGTTTAAAGTGATGCGTGAACTTTTCCACTTGATCATAACACTTGTCTCTCCCCTGTCTTCTGCTCTGCTCCCTCTGCTTGGCTCTAGTTTCTGGACAGAAATGAGATCAGCCTCAAGGCTTGGTATAACTTCTTGAGCAGCCTCCATGCTGAGCTTAAGGACTTTAATGGTTGCATGGATGCCACTAAGAGCCCTAGCCCCCAGAAACTCTGCTTCTTCTCCCATACTGCCTATTTTTCTAGTCCTTACTGAAATTTTATGTCAGAAGCTAAGCTAATTCCTTCTTGAAGATATGGAAATTTAATGATTGGTCAGTGAGCGTAACTGAGTTTCTTCATGGACCTATTTCCACTGGCAAAACCAAAAGCCATTTAACACCTGGGGCTTGCAGGCAGTGCTTGGAAGGTCCCAAAGATGATGGAGGCACCATCAGAAAGCACTGAAATGAAAGGCACTCATGAAAAGGCAGGTAGGGAAAACAGCTGAAGCTATCATCCTTCAGAGGAGGGAGATTCCTAGGCCTCTGCAATGTAGAGGAAGGGATGGGTGTGGGAGAGAGGCAGGAGGTAAGGTCAGGCACCACAGTCCTAAACCAGCAGCCTTGACAAGGAAGTCCAGAACCAGGAAAGATGTTTGAGTCCAAAGCCCTTCAGCCTCGTACCAGACACCCCAGCAGGGTAGCCCTGTTATGCCTCTGCCCAGTTGGGAAGGACAGTCCTCTTCCCAAGGGAAGGGGTGGCCAGGGGAACACAAGCCTTGACCAGCTGAAGCCTCTGCTCATGCTGTGGTGAGCCCTTTGCAAGGAGAGATCCCACCTGTGGATCTGAATCCCGTCTGGCTGCGTGATGTGATCACTGGGCTTAATTTAATTTTTGACTCATCAAGATTTGAGTGATCTGATCAGTACAATTCTCCAGAGACAAAAACGAAAAAGCCATTATTTCCACTTCCTGATACATTTGACTTCGATAAAACAATGGATTAGTTATCACTAAGGTAAAGGCATCAGCTGACCACTGGTTTTGGCTGGAGTACTGTGTGTTTAAATGATAGCAGGGCTATGTAAGCACACAGCACCCTTTTGTTAAAGGTGCCTCCTACTTAATGAAGTGTTACATGAAAACTAAATTGTCCCCAGATAGTTTTAGTCCGGAGTATTTGGGTAACACACAGAGCAACAGCTTATTAAACTGGAAGAAGCTAACAGAAGTAATAACAATGAAAGGGATCCTTGATTCAAAATGATATTGTGTGCCTTAGAACATTGACATTTGTGTCAATACCGTATTAGTGGTAATCAAATTTCTCATTGTCTGCTGCAATGTAACCAACTCCTTGGGTATAAAACTCCATTAATCATGGATGTGTGCTCTCTGTGTCTGTCAGTGGGAAGATAAATTAGGTGGCACACTGCAGATCTGAAAGAGATGAGGGCATGCATTGAGTATAGAAGGAGAAGGATAAGCAAAATCTACTCCTAGATCTTTTTCCTTGAGATTTTCCCCTTGCTAAGCCAAAGAACGGTTCAGAGATTGTTGTTTTATTAGCTATTCTGCATAATTTTGTACCATAGTTTTCGTTTTAGAGCAAATGAAAGTGTATTTCTGTGCTTAAGGCAACAGAAATGGGGGTGGAATTTCTGTGCCTGCAGATTGTACAGGCATTGTCACCATCTTAAAATGGGAGTAATATTACTACCTGTCATAGTAGTCTTGGTCCTGACAGAAACTGCAATGCTGTCGGCAGGCTCTGGAGACCTAAGTCTGCCGTAGCTCTGCCACAGACCTCTTACTTGATGTTGGCAGGTCACTCCATTTCACTTTACCTCGTTTCCCCTACTGTTGCTGCAGGTAACAGTACCCCTGCATCCAGAAGCACAGCATTAATAACACCATGTTAATGTTCATGAGATAGATCCAGAAAAAGAACTTGGGGGGGGGTGGTTTTTTTTATTTCTGAAGCCATACGAGATGAGGATGTGCTGCACATGGCAGATGCCAGCTGGCTGGCTGGGGTCTTAGAGGCTCTGCACCCTGTCCCTGTCTTTCTCATCATGGCTCTATGTATGTCTTTGGAAATGCCACTTGCTGTCTATGCAGTCACGTAAGAGTAGCCCTGCTATGCCTCTGCCCAGCTGGGAAGGATGATCCTCTTCCCTAGGAAAGGGATGGCCAGGGAACACAAGCCTTGACCCATGCTATGGGGAGCCCTTTGCAAGGAGCCAGGATTACAGGCATGGGGAAACTTGACTTCACGGACCTTTCTTCCCATTAACGCCCCTGTCATTCTCTAGAACCTGTTCTTCTTATCCCAACAATTTGTTTCCATACAGTTTGCCTGTGCTTCAGTCCCTGACGTTGTGTAGGTTACCTGAAGGGCCTTCATGTTTGAGGAGGTGATTTCAGGTACTAGACCATTTCAATGGGCAGGGGTTACATGAGGGATCGGTTTCACCTAGGAGTGATCATACTTTCCAAATCTTCAGTTGCAAAGTGATGACAGTATTTCTTACTTTCTAACATGTGGCTCTTGGTAATAGAAATGCCAAGTGTTACTGCAGTGTACAGTGTACTGGGGCTCTGCTCCATAAGGCAGTTTTGAAATCTTTGGTTGTCCATAGCAACCTGCAGGCACTGAAATATCAACTTGCACATGTGTGGGGGTTTGAAATGCTGCTGTTGCTGGAGGCTCCTAGGAAAAGGCTCTCTGCTTTATCCCTGTGTGGACCTTCTCCTCATTGCCCCTACCCACCCCATAGAGGTTGTGGCTCCTGCCAGCACAGCAGGTTTTACCAGGCTGCAGGTCCTCTCTGGGAGCTGTGCATTGTGCGTGGCCAGAGGGAAACCGGTACCAAGGCAATGTGTGCAGGGCAGTCCCAACCAGCAGCAGCCCCTGTGCTGCAAAGACACCAGTGCTCTGATGTCCACCACTACAGAGTGTGTGACAGAGCTGGAGCCACCACAGAGGACCACTGAGTTCACTGGTGATTGATGTGTTGTAAAAGGCAGACTTGCTTGTAGTTTAAATTAGGAGAGAGAGACTAGAGCCACTTCATCTCACACTCTCAGGCTGTGGTCTGGGCAAAACTCCCTGTGCCCCAACTAGCAGGAGCAGGGCAGCATCCCAGGCTGTAGCCAAGTCACTGGTCCAAAGTAGTGGCTGTGTGACATGACTCAACATTACAGTGTTCTCCCTTTGCTGGAAGTGTCTGAGATTTAACTGATTGGGTCCCCCTGCACCTGTTAGTGACTTTGTCAAAGGATGCACCCCTCCTGTGCTTTGGAAAACCCTTGTGCCAGCCAGCTAGTGGACACTTTGTCCTAGTGCAGGGTGTTGTGACAACCCTGAAAAGGTCACTGCTATGTGTGCTTTGTCACTACCTGTCACTGCTTAATATTCCTCTCTGCTGGGAGCCAGAGCCTGGACCAACTGCTCAGATTCACCAAGCAACTTTTGCAATATTGGAGTATGAAGACGTTTTCAGCAGCTTCTGTGCTTTTGGCAGCACCCAGTCCCTGCCGTAATTAGGCTTGGGTGTCCTCCAAAATGGCACAAACTTCAAAGGCCTCAAGCCTAACCTTAGGGGAATGTAGGTGGGACTGTGATCTCCAGGCAACGTCATCCTGGGAGTCTTTCAGCTCCAGTGGCCAGTTTACATACTCAAGACCTGACACAGCAAAAGAGAGACTTACAGTTTGATGGCTTCAGTCTTTTAATCCCTATTTCTACCAGCAATCCTTTTTCTACAAGTAGGCCCTACTCGTGTAAGTAGTTCTCTTGGCTTCAGTGGAGTGTCTTTAGTGTACTTAATGTAAACTAAGACTATGTTTGGCATCTGTGGAATCCTAAAAAACTAAAACAGCAGGACACAATTGAGGGCATAAGGCTTTACAGACCCAAGAGGTCACACTGGAGTTTACATTTACTGCTGGCAATTCCAGGGGTTCACTAGCACAGCCACAGCAGATGAATTTCCCTTCTAACTGCAGAATAAACACTGCATGTGGGGTAAATATTAAAGGAATTACTGTAACAGGAAAGGAAAGGGAGGAGGGCTTCTTTGTCAAACAAAAAGGATGTCTGTTTACCTGCTGTCCCCAAGTAGCAGGCACTGCTCATTGGAGTGTTTTGGAAGTCAAGAGATAAAGCCTTAAATAGGGACAGCCAACACACAAAGAAGAGAAGCGCTTTTACAGCTTTTCGAGTTTCGGGTAATTGTGGCCATTGCTAATTTTCATACCATGATGGCTTAACAGTTCTGTGCCTGTGATTGTGCAGCCCAATTCACATGGGAAATGCTTCTTGGAGCCTAATAAGCACTAAGGTGCACATCCTGCGTGCTGCCATGGCAACGGCAGGATGCAGGAGGGCTGGGAGGGCTGGCTGCCAGGAGCTCCTGAACTTTGGCAAGGAAACTGCCCTTTGGATGTCCAAAATGGTTTCATTACCAGCCGTGGAAACTATCTGGTGTCTAGTGACTGATTCTTCAAATGAGTGATACCTCCCTAAGCTGAATGAACCCTTTGGTTGCTGGCTTCAGGTGTGTGCTGGTCCATCTAGCACAGCTGTGTAGTGGGGGAGAGACAGGGCAGTGCAGAGGCCGGCAGCATTCGTGCAAAACTGTCAGTCCTGATGAGGAAGCCCAGGGAAGCTTCACTGATGGTGTTCTGGCATTCAATGTCAGACTGTGTTTTGGGGTTTTGTTTTCACCCTGCTTTCCCGGTTGTTGCTGGTGCCTGACCCTTTCACTGCTGCCAGGGCACATGCGGGGCAGCCTTCATGCCCTGCCGACCTTCTCTGGATGGGGCTGAGCAGCTCTGGGCTTGTGGCAGGAGGGTTGCTAACAACAAATTTTGTCCCATGGCAAACTCTTTGCTTTGACACTTATTTTCCCCCAAGGGAGGGACAAACATAGTCATTTTCCTTGCTGAAAAAGATCATGACTCTGCAGTGCTGAGGCTGTGGCAGTGTCCATGGGAACTGGGAGCTTGGGTACCCCATGTTCTCAATTCTCCTCCACGGCCAAGACTTCCAGCAGGGCAGCAACTCCTGTGTTGTGTCCTGGCCAAGGAAACCACATGAGGCCCTGTCTCTGGTAAGGGGGACAGCGGAATGGAAAATTAAATGGGGGAACATGGTCCATATAGGAGAATGGGGAAATGAAATAATTTACTGTAGTTCCTATGAAGTACTCAAGCAACTTGAGTAGGAACCTGTTAATGCCAAGCTAAACCAAAATCAATTGTTTGTTGTATTTTTTTTTAATTCCATTTAACAGACTGAAGCAGTCTGATTAAATTCCCACAGACCTGAAACTGTTTTGCCATATCTTTACTCATGCTTTTGTAAAAATTAGTATTTCCCTCTCTTAGGTCTTGACATGAAAGAAAGCGTTTTGCACCAGCCACCACTGCTGATTTCAGTTGTTGGACTTAGCAATGGAGTTCCTGACACTGTTAAAACTGTTGCTACTGGGATGAGGGGAGTGATGGTTGATACAAAGCCTGGGGCTTTTTATAAAGCTCTTTACCTTAAGCTGGTCTGTGATTTGCACACTATGCCAAATCCACCCCGTGAACTCAGAGGGTGACTATCAAAATGATGATCTGAGTACCTTACACTTCTCTCTGCCGAGAAGTTGGGTAACCTGTACCTGAGGAGCTCTCCCAGGAAGAGCCTGCATTGTCTTAATGCCAGCATGGAGTGACTTGTGTGACATATGCTCCACGTGAGTTCTCTGCACCCTCCACAGGTGCATCATTTGGCTGAAAACAGACAATAATTATTGCTAATTACGTGTTGCTCTGCTACCTGCTAATTAAGGAGAGCTGCAAAGCTGAGATATGTGTTCTCTGGAGTAGTGACCACCTGACTCAGTGAATGCAGAGGTGGAGGATACAAGTTTGATCAGAGAGAGAACTTGGAATGGCTAATACTGTGAATGGTTGGGTTTTTTAAACCTTCTTCAGGATTTAATGATATTCATGTTCAGAAATACAGCAACATTGATTTGCAGAAACGTATGTAAATGTCACAGTTGCCAACTACGGAAGTGAACACACTGCAGTAGGAAAAGCTATTTCTTCTTATCTGACTGGAAAAACAACCCAGTTTTGTTGGCACAGATGCATTTTGGAAAATTAAACAGCAGGGAAAGAAATGACACAATGGTTCTACAGGTGTGCAGAAAGGCCATCAGGAGGGAGCTCCCTTGCTCAGCAGGCTTCAGAGAAGGCTGAGGGGAACTGCAGCAGTGGCTCTCACTGCTGGAAATTCAGCTGGGTTTCCTGAGGGTGAGCAGTTGTGGCAGGGGCTGTGCTGAGATGGTTTCTGACAGGCTAAACAAACCTCTTGATCTCAGCGTTACTGGCCGACAGTCCCTGTGCATTGCAGAGGGACAGGGATGGTCAGATGCACATCTCTGGCCATGATTTCACCGTGGTATCTAGGCTGACAAATGTCACGGGGAGTTTTCTTAATATAACATGTCCATTGCAGAATTTCTTTATAGTTCCAATATAAGGCTGGCTTTCAAAACCAGAAAGGTACCATCCAGCTTCTAAAATTAACATCTGGTTAAAGCCTGGCTTAAATGAATGCTTTAAAAACTCTTGTTATATCATGAGATAAAAATGTGCCTGAATATGGAAAACCTGTACAAAAATATTCATGATGTGTTTCATTATGTACCTTCCTTTACATGGCATCTGATGATAATCAGGATCTAACTTACTTATGGGGTTAGTGAACCATGTTATTGAGGTGTTCATGTCTCTCAATACTGCATCACAGCAGCTGAAGCTCAGTCATAAGAGAGTGATGACTAAATGACAACCAGCAGATGATGTGTCTCCTAATGATCCTATGGGAAGTAAGCAAACTGGACTAAACAGGAGACTTCCTGTGGACACACGGATGTCCCAGTAAGTACTTTCTCAGTCAGATTCTGTGTGTGGGTTCCTGTGGGAGGGAGAGGCAGATTGACTTTACCTGTAAAATGCACTGAGGATATCACAGGAAAATGTTTTGCATCAGGGAATGAAGTACTACTCCTACTTCTGTCAGTGGTGAGATCATTTTGATAGTGTGCTGTTTGCTTCCTTTGGAAAGAAATAGCCACTGCAACACAATTGGGGAAATGTAGATTTTATTCCCAAATCTATCAAGTCCCAAACTGAGAAGGTACCCACTTGCCTTAATATCTCCTCATCTGTTAACTACATAAAATATCCATTAATTTACAATCATTTCAAGAGATTACATTAATATAGCATTGATAACATGCTTGGATTCTATCCAGCAGAAGATGCTAAACAGGTATAAGATACTATTAATTTCATCAGTAATGAAATATCTGTAATACAAAGTAATTTTCTTGTGTGCTAAGATTTCAGTATAGTCTAGCTTGCTTGGAGAACTTAATGAAACTATGGCATCAACAGATAATACAATTGCAAACCGAATAACCTGGAAGAGTTTTTGGTCCTCCAGCTACATGACTTTTTATTTAAATTTGCTTGTTAAACTTAATTCCAATAATTAATTACCATTTTGCAGAAAATATATATTTATTAAGTATTATCTAATATCACTGTGCAGCAAAGACGACCCTTCAAAAAGCTTTAAATACAACCTCAACAAGAAATATTCTTGGCAGCACCAGTGTCTTCATGGTAAAAAAAACCACAAAAAAGTTAGTCCATACAAGAACCAAATGTTTAGCTCTACTTTACATATATGTAATAGTAACAGGAAGGGAATGGAGTGACTTGATACACAACGTGAAGACATTACCTGATACTGTACTATTATTAAAACCTTTTATCGGTCAAGGAGACCCAGCAGAACAGAAACCATAGTTATTTCATGGTAGGACTAGTTTTACAATAGTGCATCCAGTTGGCAAACCCCTTTAAATAAAAGGAAAGAAAGCATCTGAAGCCTTGGGATAACCATTTTCCCAGCAGTGAGGAATCATGTTCCTCTTTCCTAAAATGAAGCTGCATTCACTGAGACATTGGATACAGACTGTTTTGTGTGGGTTTTTGTTTTTCTTTTTTTTAGCCCGGGTAAAATCCTCTTTGTGCACGTGGTGCCTACTCCACTGGCACTGTCTTCCCAGAGGAGCTCCTGGAGACCTAAATCAGGCCTCTAAAGGTTAACCTGCGGGAAGGTGGAGGATGCCGGGAGGGAATGATCACCCAGCTGGTCTGAGGCTGGTGACGTGGGCTGGTAACCTGAGAGCCTGTTGCACAGCTTCTGTGCCTGGAGTTGCTGTGGGATCAGAAGGAGCTGGCTGGCTCTGTCCTGGTTTATGCAGTGCCCAGTCCCCTCGGCCGCGCTGCCCTCCTGAGCGGGAGCCTTTTGGCTGTGTCTGAATTCAATGTGCAGCGCCTGCTCCCACTGACTCACTGACTGCACGGTGCTATTCTGCACTGCCCTGCCTGGATTATTCGGGAATATCTGGGAACATGTGTTCCTGAACTGTCTGTTATCAGCAAGTCCAAGAGCTGGGAAGCCCTAGGAAGCTTTCACTGTACTCCATTTATTTTTCCATTCCCTCCCACACACCCTACCACTACACCAGGCAACAACACAGGATACAGTAAAATGGTTCCTAGAAACATGTCATCACTGTCAGTAAGGCTTTTTAAATTCCTGTTTTAAAATATCCCAAACTACAACTTGGTTTCAAACAGTACCTTCACAGAGGTGCTTATCCCACAGGATGACTTGGAGAACCCATCTGATTTCAAATAAATTCATGGCTTTCAGAAGGAACAATTTCCTTTGTTATCCCATCTGGGCAGGCATGTTGTTGTTATATATGGTCAGAAAATGGAAGTGAAAATGCAAAAGCTGTGGTACAAAACCTCTTCTTGTTGCCATTGGCACTTGAAATGTGCTGCATCGTCAGGTTTGATGTTCTGAAAGAAAGTGTTTTTTATCTGCTGATCCTTTTTTGGCCCAGGTGGATGATTCTTAGGTTCTTTCCTGATGTCTTAAATAGCAGTGATAATGTGCAGCCTATGGAAATCTGCAGCAACTGTTAGGTACTCATTAGTCACTGACACAAAGCTTTGTACATCAGAATCTATCTACAGGTGCCACAGGGAGAAGGCAAGAAAGAAAAATGTGTCATACTCTGAGGTAAACAGCTTTATTTCCTATTAGTCTGCCAGAGGCTGAATTAGTAATTTATGAAGCACTTTGCCACGATGAGATTTGTTTAGTCCACTTAGGATTTGTTTTTTGCTGTTAACACAGAGCTAAACAACTGAGACTGTGTCTACATGCACTTCTGCAGATAGGAGCTTGCTCAGTGCTTGGTGCCTGCCAGCTACAAGCCACATCACCGGCAGCATGGCAGTGTTGTTTGCACAGCATGGAGGGTAGGGCTGATATTACCACAGTTACTCATCTCTGCACCCCCACTTTTCCACCAGGTGCTGTAGCTGCTTATGATTTGTTAGCAGGATGGCAGGCTCGCTGTCTGCCAAACAGGATTGTAGTGGTCACACATGGAGCACTGCCTGGGAGGCCAGGAGGAGGGCTGGTGATGGCCCTGAGCAGGGTGGGGCTCATCACATCTTCATCCAGCTCTGTGGCAGCGTGGACAAAACGTGGTTTTTCTGCCTAGGGAATACATCTGTGGGAATATAGTTTTTTTCCCATTTTTAACACACCCTATTTCTTTTTAAGATTTGAGAAAAGTAGAAGTCCATACTGTTAAGACCACCAACAAACTTTCAGGAAAAAGCAGACATTGGCACAGGAAAAAAAAAAAGAAAAGGGAATATAGAAAAGAAACACAAATCCCTATTACAAAAAGTAAATCCAAACCAAATTAAATTTTCAAAGCCTCCTTCCTGGACATAAATCCCCTATTTTTCTTTTGAAGGTCAGCATTAGATGATGCAAGACCAACACTGAACTTCCAGGCCATTAGCCTCTTTGGAGCCAGGCAGCAGACAGGGTGATGTGGTATGTCTGCATACCTCCTCCAGGCACTGAAGAGGAGGTGAGAAGCAAAACCCTTCCTACAGTGGAAGGAGTTATGAGATCCTTCTCATCTCCAAGGGAATGTGCTGCTGCCACAGGGGTGCCAGGGGACAAACTGGTGGACTAGCCTGCAGGAATCACTCCTGACGGAGACAGGGCTGGCAAAAGGAAAAGGCATTTGAAAGCAAAGCCTTTTGAAATGTTGCCTCCCCCAGCTAAAACCGATAGGAAAGGGCTGCCCTTGCTGGTATTTGAAGGGTTTCTGAGCCACTTCAGACAACTCTCTGGTGCCAACTGCCCCGTGCAGAGTCACATGTGTGTGAAACAAGTGACTCAGCTCACTGGGGAAGGCAGAGGTCTGCGCAGAGCTCGGTTTATCACTGGAACTGCCTTAGTCCTCCGACTGGAAGCGTTTGTCTCTGGCATCAGCCAACCAACCAAGGCAACGGGGTTAGTTTAAGGGATCACTTCACATTTTTGTTTGCGTAAAGCTGGTATCTCTTTTCCCTATGTGAGCAGGAGTTACTGAACTGGTTTTCCTGTGAAGAGAGTGGGAGTTATTCTGGCGCAGCTGCAGAGGGAAAGTGTTAATCCCCCCCATCTGTCCTTGCTAAACTTTTTAAGTAAAGATTAGTTTGATGAAGGAGCAAGGCTAGGAGGTCTGTTTTTTTGCTACAGCACTCGCTAGAGACCCAAGAAATGGCAATTGTTAAGTCGTAGTGGGCTTTAAGCCCTCAAATCTTTGAGACTTGTGCACAGGAAAAGACATGGAGGCACTAGCTCCTATGCTCTCCATCTGTATGGGGCAAAGTTAGATCCAAAGTCCTCTAGTCCAAGCCCAGATTCACAGCTGAGCAGGAAAGTTACCCTAGAACTACCCCACATCAGGGATTTCATATAAGTCATCTGGCTGATGTGTGTGGGATTCATCACAAGAGAGAAGTGAAGAACTTCCATGAACACCTTGCAGGACTGTGTTCTCAGATGAAAACATCTGCTAAAATGTGCAAAGCCCAGGAAGAAAAGGCTACATTAGTGCTGCAGGACATGGCTCCTCTGGAAAGAATAAGAATGCTGCACATTCTGATTGTTTACTTCACTTGCTTGCTTCCCACCCCCCCGTGGTATTTACAGTGCCCTGGTACTCATTCAGCTTTCTTAGCTAACAGGTGGGGAGGCAGACAGACCTGCCTGAAATCCTGGCATCAGACACCTGGCAGTCCTTCCTGCTTCAGGCACCTTGCAGGTACATTGCCCTGAGGCAGGGGGGAAGCAGGCAGCTTGGATCTGTGTTCCTATGCCAGGACAGGATCCCAACAGAGTGGAGGATTCCCTACTGCATTTGTCCCACTGACTTCTGCAGGAAGTTCCTCTCAAATCTGTGTGGCTTTCCCAGGAGTCATCCATATTTCCCTGGGGCTGAATATGGTGTACTCAAGAGATGCTGAAGGCACCAAACCACTGTCTTCTAGGGTCTCCAGACTGCCTGCTTGTTAAACAGGCACTGAAGTGCCATTAGGGAGTTGAAGTGTCATCAATGTTAAAAAACAGCTGACTGAACCTGTAGCTTAATTTAGGAGCTTGTCAGACATATGGTAATGGCCTGGTAAGGCTTGGTTAAAGGTGGCATTTGCAGGCTTCTGTACATTTTTAATCTCTGTGTACAATACAATATTGCACATTAGCTTTCGCTCTTGCTGGCAGATTTCTTGTGGGAAGATCTACTTTGGGACTTCAGTAGCACTAAATACAGAGCAACTGACAGAAATAGGGAGTTTGGACCAATGTCTCTGCTGGCATAACTCCATTAGAGCCAGAGGGTGAAATCGCAACCCTGTTGAGATGCATGGGACTTCTGCCAGGCTTGCGACTGCTGAGAACTCTTTTAACAACTCAACCCTGATTTTGCTTTGGAATGAAACCTCCCTGTGGATCTTAGCCTAGGAACACTTGCATCTTTCACACAGAAGAAAAATGTTCTGCAGCAAGCAAATGAACTTGGAAATGATTTTAACTTCATCAGTGGAACCCTTGCAATAGACATTCATTGCGGGCTAAATTTGGCTTGTGTGGTAAGACACTGACTGAGTACTACACAGACATTCATCTCCCTCAGAGATGGAAAGGCTCCTGCTTTGGCTGCAGTCACAGTTTATTGGACGTGCTCCCTGTTACTCCCATGAACTGCACAAGCAAAGTTCTGGTGCTCTCAGTGTGACCCATTCATGCAGTCAGTGCTCATCAACAATTGTTTTAAGACCAGGAATCCTAGATACTGACAACGCATCTCTCTCTTCTCTTTACATTGTATATTGCTGTCCTGGCTTCTGGGCTTCTTTTTCATGCCTACCCATTGCTACAGGGTATTTGTGAGTCTGCTGGAAGGTCTTGGGGCTGAAGACAGACCTGCATCAAAGCCCTTTTTTGTGTAATACTGACTATACCCCCAGCAAGGTCAGAAAGCTGGTGCTCCTATCACCCACAGCTGCGCCTTGATAGCCTTATGGATCTGAGGTTAAAAACGAAGCAGGAAAAAAGGTGCTGGAAAACCAAAATAAATTAATAACAATTCTGGTTTCTTTATAAAGAAGCAGGATGGGGAAAACTGTTTTGCTTTGCAGGTCACCTTCACAGCAAACAGGAATCATTCAATCACTGCTGGATAATACCAAGGGCACTCTCAGAGGTTGGCAACTGGAATGATTAAAAAAATATGAGCAAGATTTTAAGTGTCTCTTTGTGAAACAAACAGAGCAAGATTGTTCATCAGTGGTGGAATAGGTACTGTAAACATTGTCTTAAATGAATCTGGAAGGAATTTGTAAGAGAGAAGATGACCAGCTCTGTCTTCCCAGCACAGTCCCAGCCCCTCATAGAGGGGAGTTTGTGACCTTGCCTTCCTATTACACACATCAAGCTTCCTGGAGCTCTGTGTCTGGTTTTGCATTTGAGAAAACAGGAAATATTTCACAGCATCACAGAATCAATGAAATTGGCTGGTGAGCTAGCACAAGTTGCCAAGGATGGTGTCCAGTTGGGTTTTGAGTATCTCCATGCAGGAAGACTCCACAACCTCTCTGGGCAACTGGCTCATTTTGGGGCACTCTCACAGTAAAAAAAAAAAAGGTTTTTTTTGTGTTTGGGTGGAATCTGATGTGTTTTCATTTGTGCTTCTTATCCTGTCAGGGAACTCTACTGAAAAGAGTCTGCCTCCCTTCTGTTGCCTGTGCTTGGGATGGACCTTCCCAGTGCTTGGAGGAGGTGATCTTTGAAAGCCAGGCATCTTTTCTGGACACTGGTACTGGTCTCCAGTACCATATCACAAGCAGAATTCTTGGTTGAAGTCTGCCGTTCAAAAACAGAGTTGTGGTCCTGCCTTTTGCGCCACTCTCCTGTCTTAGGGTCCCGAACTCCACCATCTCACGGTCACTGCACCCAGTGCTGACCCTGCCTTCGTGTCCCCAACCAGTTCTTCCTTGATTCTAAGTGTGAGATCCAGGCAAGCACCTTTGCTTATTAGCTCCTCCATCAACCATGCCAGGGAGCTGTCAGAGCGCTCTTGAACTCCCCTACATTGCTTGGGCCCTGATGTATCGTCATTTCTAATTTAAACCTCTTCCTACCAGCTTTAAAATTAACCTTAGTATAAAATAAATCCACCTCCTTCTGCGCTCACTGTCAGCCCCTGTGCTCCCTGCTGCAGGCCTGGGGCAGCATGTGCAGGTGTACTGACTGCAAGGTGGCTTGGAAGCCCAGATCTGGTGTCCTTCGCACGTCTCGAGCTGCTCTGTTACACTGG